TCATATAGAGGGGGGTTCAAGGATCTTAAAATTATGATAGCCTTAAATCTGCGTAGCACGCCAAACATGTTCGGCGCCCCATCGAACATCTGAGCATGTTCGGACGCTTGCGTCCGGCCGAGAGGGAGCTGAACATGTGCGGACGAGCGCAAACTAGGGGGCTGCCAGACATCCTCATGTGGCCGGTACCGGGGCCATTTCGGCCATTGTGGTCCCAAGGGGGGGCCATCGTGGGCGGCCACAGGGGGCGGGAGACCAGAGGGGGCAATGGGGCGGCCATTTCAAATTCGAAATGGGCAAACTTGAAATCTTTGGCCCCCATTCCCCCAGCCCCCCGTGCTGCTTCGCAGGAGCCATCCCCAGCAAACAGCCGTCATCACCGTGTGTGTTGTGTGTGTGTGTGTGTGTGTGTGTGTGTGTGTGTGTGTGTGTGTGTGTGTGTGTGTGTGTGACATTATGTGTTTGTGTGCAGCAAACGCAGCTCCCTACCCTACCCTAGACTAAGCCATGCGTGGTTAGACCCCGTCATTTACCTGATAGAGCCCCCCAGCCCGGTATCATTGTTGTGTGTATATGTGTGCCCAGAGGCCATGTATGCTTGTATGAGCCCGTAGGCTGTGTGTATATATTCACGAGCCATGTTTTGTATCTGCCCGAAGGCTATGTGTGCCGTGTAACTGTATAGCGAGATGTATATGCCCGAAGGCCAGATATGTGCAGTACTATGTAGAGGGAACAATGTGTTCGTTGAAGAGATGACGGGCCAAGCTCGACAAGAACCCCCCCAAAGTCCCAAGCCAGACTCAAACCCATGATCTATGACATGCAACCTGAAGACTACGGTTTGAGCAACATTCGCAAACGGCACCTGCGTGTGATATGCCAGACAGGAGATCAACAGAACAACCACAAGCAACAGCGACAAGCAAGCCACGCAGTATCAATACCCGACATACAACATCGTGGAGAACCCTTGGGTGGTGCGCAGGCAGTGTCTGTAATAGCTTACCTCGAGTCAGCCCAAGTGTGTGTGCCCAGCCGTGCACAATTCTAACGCCCTGCGAGTGTCCATGAGAAAGGCTGCGGAGTTTTGAACCTGCAACCTCATACCACAATGTCGGTCCGGCTAGTCTGAGTTCCGCCTAGCCTTGAGTAAGTTAGGGGAAGGACGGTAGGATGTGTCCATGGGCGCCGGCTCGCCTTGCCTAGGTACTCCTGCTATGTAGACTCTGAATTGGGCCTGAGCCTGGTGTCCGAAGTTCCCATGCTTGTCACTGCTGTCTGGTCCAAGTTGCCCTCGATACTGGTAGGGTGATGGTCCTGAGTGCTGGGCACACTGAAGTAGGATAGTAGGGACAGTGGGTGCGCTGGGAGGTACTAACGTGAATGGGTAGGGTAGGTGGCCTATCCTGTCAGGACAACCATTGGCTGCTGCTGCCAGCAATCACCGCGGGTCTGGTCCGTGGCCTCTACAGCACCCTGGGCTTAAAATATAATTAAAACAATAGAAAAAGTGAAAAAACTTGCAGCAGCTACATCAGGTGCACCAGTTACTACTGCAGCAGCTGCTGTAGGTGCTGCATCAGCTGCCTCAGCAGATGTGTGTGTGTGTGTGTGTTATAAAATATCACCACAACTTCCCCTATTCCACCCAGATGAGTAGATCCAAAGTCATAGCAACTTTACCTGTATTGCAGACAATGAAGCATTCTCAAGATGAGACAATCCACCAATGAAACAGTTTTGCTTGTGGAGTCGATATCTATTCAGAACCTTACCTTTAAACAAGCAAGGAATCTCACCTTCACACAAGCAATGCAACACACTTGAGATGGGCCAGCCCAACAGTAAAAACAATACAAGACACAATTAAATTCGTTATATCGTTTCCTTGATTATATTTCCATCAGCTAGCATTGGGAGGCCTCCCATTTTCTTTGTTTTTG